GCGTCCCACATACAGCAACTAGAAGGATGTGCAACTATGACATACAACTATCTACTGGGGCTTTGGGGGAAAAAATAAATAAATAAATAAAATTATCAAAAAAAAAAAAAAATTTCATTGCCCTAAATTCTTTCTTAGAGAACAAAAGACAATTCCACTTAAAAAAAAAATATCAAGAATAGAAAAGCAAACTATGTTTAAAGATGAACATAGAATTTAAAGAATAAAAAACAAAAAATGCTATTTATCAATTGATTAATTAAACAAGGGCTGGGGCTGGGTCTTTGGTGGATAAAGCAGAACAGTTAAATCATTGGCAAATCCAATTAAGGTTGAAATATCTATATATATTTTTATATATATATACACACACACACACACGTATGTATGCATATGAGTGAGAAAGGATACAAGAGATTTAAAAAAAATAAACATAATTTTATTCTAGTAAATTATAAATTCTCAGAAATGCACCAATTTAAAGGAAATCATAAATTACCAAAATTGATTTAAGAAGCAACAAATTTCAGCTTTGCAAAAAAGTTGAGAAGAGTTGTCAATGTAATCACCAAAACATGCTTTGGCCATCCAGACAAAATTTTTTGCCCATCTGATTATTTCTTTACGTAAATTCAAATAATTTCTAGTTGATTCTCATTTTAGATCTATCATAGTTTTAATTAAACAAAAATTTCAAACTCTAAAGCCTGACCTTCTGCACAACTTTATGTAAAAGCTCTTGTTCATAAACAGTTGTTTTCCATATACAATTTTTAGATTCCCAAATGAACTTTTACAATAAAAAAGTGAACTGTCAAGTTTCTTCCAGGGCCGGCCCTGTGGCTTGGTGGTTAAGTGCGCGCGCTGCGATGCTGGTGGCCCGGGTTCGGATCCCGGGTGCGCATCGAGGCACCGCTTCTCCATTCATCCTGAGGCCGAGTCCCACATACAGCAACTAGAAGGATGTGCAGCTACGACATACAACTATCCACTGGGGCTTTGGGGGGAAAAATAAAATAAATAAAATCTTTAAAAAAAAAAAAAGTTTCTTCCAAAAAAACATTAAAAAGAATAGTTTCTAAGTCTGCCTGATTACTGCAATCACACGGGGAGTTTTGAATATATACAGATTCCTAGGTCCACCAGCCCCACTGGATCAGTCTATAGCATAGGTCAGGAATCTACAGTTCCCTAACACACCGTGTGTGATTCTCAGGATCAGCCAGGTTTGGGAATCAGTGCACTACAGCACATCTTTTTTTTTTTCTTTTTAATATTTATTTTTTAATTTTTTTTTTTTGTGAGGAAAATCAGCCCTGAGCTAACATCTGATGCCAATCCTCCTCTTCATTGCTGAGGAAGATTGGCCCTGAGCTAACATCCATGCCCATCTTCCTCCACTTTATATGGGATGCCGCCACAGCATGGCTTGCCAAGTGGTGCGCCAGTGCGCGCCCGGGATCCCAACTGGTGAACCCCGGGCCGCCAAAGCGGAGCATGCGCACTTCACCGCTTGCGCCAACGGGCAGCCCCACAGCACATCTTTTATTCTTCTCATTCCCACCTTCTTCACAGAGATATTCTGGGAAAGCAAAAGCTGTACCAGGAACCAATATGAAAGAGGTATATGTATAACAGAACAATACATGATTTGGTAGGAGAAATCAATGACAAACATCCACACACACAAAAAAAGAAATAAAAGGTTGGTAAATAAAGACAAGGGAAACAGAATGACAGATCCTCTCCCTAATATTTTCCCCATGAATGAAATAACTGATAAGAGTGAGGAGAGCACAGAATCTCTTGTGAAAGCAAAAGGGAAAGAAAATAAACAATAGTCTTTGAGCAACTGGGACTTCATGTATCCTATGGCTTAGCTTGAGAAGACAGCTGCTGATATCCCGGGGGCCTCTAAACAGTTAGAGAGGATCTTACCAAGATAGATGGTAGTGGGTTTTTTTTCTTAAACACTTTGTCTTCATCGACCTAATGGTCTCTCTCCCTCTCACCAAATTAAAGAAATGGGGGATAATGAGCAAATGTTTAATTTAAAAAATTCTGCCAAGTACATTCCACATTCATGTCCTGACAATTAAGGCAGTTACTACCTATAGGGAAAAATACAGATGAAAAGTTTTTTCAGTTCTGAAATCTTTGTGTTCATTCATGGGTGAGAAGGGGATATGCAATCTAAGCAGAGCTAGATTAAACAGGGCTAAATAAGCATTTAGAAAATTAACATCTAAAGAACTTTTCAGTCAAATGTAGGATGAGTTTTTATGTCTCAATACAAAACAACTACACCAAAACATAAAGTATCCTCCCTCCGCAATGCTGCAAACACATTATTCATGTGCCTCAGTAGTTCCTACCAGATTACCAAGAACAGGACCTCTATCTTAAATTACTTTTGTATTCATTCGTTTGTTTAGGACATTTGACATAAAATGTGGAGAATTAACAGGTGACAACACAGTTTAGAAATGTAATAAGCTTTTGTCAAATGACATTAAGTATGTTCTATCTCTCTCTATAAATAGTATGGTACGAAAGAAACAAAGATGATCTTCACTTTGCTCTATTATCCACTCCAACAGCAATCACATTTGTTTAATCTTGCCCTGAATTACTGAATATAGAGAATTTCACTCATCGCACAACACAACCAATATTAGAAAAGTTTCTCATTTAAATACAAATACATAAGGAGAAAGAACAAGGAAGAAGTTACACTCTTTAATTCTCAATTCTTACGCATCATCCATTTTGCAGGAACTTCTTTCCTTTCTTCCAACTTGCCTTGTTTCATTTGCTGTGTCAGTTAACTATGCTAAACAACAGCAAAGGTTACTGACAAAGATCAACAGTGAAAACAGAAGATTATGACCACTCTCCAAACAATGCTAGGGTTCCATATCAGCCAATACATTCACAAAACTCCTACCTCAAAGATTTGTTCAAAATTCTGAAATTCTTGTAATCTTGCCTGAAATCCTTCAGCAAGTGCCCCACCTGTAATATTTAGGTGAAGATTTTAAAACCTAGTATATTGCAAGAAAAGATTTCTACCAAGCTGTTTTTATAACCTACACTTGTATTTCAAAAGGAAATCTATAGTGAATACATACCACCTTCCGGCATCCCCTGTGCTCTCTGCTTTCTAGCACTAAGAACTTCCTTTGCAGAAACAAAGAAGATACGATTCTGTGCTTCTAAAGGATCCACAACTTTGAGCTCCTCCACCAAGAAATGTAGGCATCGTTCCATGTGCTGTCTGCGTACCTAGAGAAAAACACAGTATTAAAAGAATTCTAACAATTAAACAAATATAACTAACAGTTACAGGCCTATAAACTCCTTTTACAGTGATATTATAGTAATACTTCCCATATACTTAACAAATCCAAAAATTCTAACAAATGAAATTTGTTACTTGCTGACAGGAAATTTCTCTCTCTTAACGATTCTTCCTTTGAATGCTTAATTTTAAAATTCTGATGGGGCGCCGGCCTGGTGGTGCAAGTGGTTAAGTGCACGCGCTACACTTCGGCAGCCCAGGGGTTGCAGGCATGCACCAATGCACTGCTTGTCACGCCATGCTGTGGCAGCGTCCCATATAAAGTAGAGGAAGATGGGCACAGATATTAGCTTAGGGTCAATGTTCCTCGGCAAAAAAGAGGAGGATCAGCATCGGATGTTAGCTCAGGGCTGATCTTCCTCACAAATAAATTAATTAATTAATTAATTAAATTAAATAAAATTCTGATAGACCATCAAATACTACACAACCATTATAAAATGTATTGTAGACAAATATTAGTACTTAATGGCATGGGAAAAGGTTTCTAATTCTGTATTAAGGACGTACATGATTGTACTACAAAAAATGATGTGTGCATACGTATTTGTGTAAATTAATAGATGGCATGCAGGCAACACCCACAAAAATGGGTAGCATTTTTATTTCTTCCTTATGTTTTATTTTCTAAATTTTCTACAATGAAACTATTAATGCCTTTGAAATCAGAAAATAAGTGCTATGATAAATTTACTACAATGAAGCTATTTTTATTTTGAAATCAGAACATAAATAGTATATTTTTCTTTTTAAAAACACTGGGAATTAAAGTTGGGGAGAATGCATTAGCTAGGGATTAGAGTTGCAATGTCAGGTTTAAGATTAGCACTTGGGTATTAAAATTAGGACTAAGGGTTAGAAGTTAGTTAGGATTTAGTACTAGCCTTTAGCATTATGGCTATGATAAGAGATCTCTGTGTTAAGACTTAACAAAATAAAGCTAAATAGGAATGGGGAAGAACAACCTGTGGGTGATATTTCCTAATTCTCTGATAATTAAATGAGATCCCAATTTGAAAGAGTATGATTATAAAACAAGAGTTAATAATAGTAGGATATAAAGCTTCATATTAAGCAAAATTCCAATTTTGGGGTGAGGGGAAGAACAAAAGCCCAAATAACCTAATGTGGGAACAGTGATGGGACAGTGTAAATTTTAATTTTATGCATTTTCTAAATTTTTTACAATAAACATATGCTACTATTAAAATCAGAAAAAGTAGTATTAAGCAAAATAAATTAATATTAGAGGCCAAATGCCAAATACTCTATTCTTTTTAACAGGAAGTTTCTAAAACCACCAGCATAACTAAAATGAAAAACAAAAACAAAAAATACCAAGTGTTGGTGAGGATATAAATCATCTACAACTCTCAATCTGCTTGTGGGAGTATAAACTGGTATAAGCACTTTAGAAAACCCTTAGGCTGTGTTTACTAAAACAGCATATACTTATCCTGTAATCCAGCAATTCTACTCCTAGATATTTACCCATGGATCACTCATCTATGCCTTGACATTTTGGGTCAGATAAATCTATGGTTAAGGGGAGCTGCTCTGTGTTATAGGATGTTTAATAGCATCCCTAGCCTCTACCCACCAGATGCCAATAGTATACTCCCCCAGTTGTGACAACCAAAAATGTCTTCAGACACGGCCAAATATTCCTTAGGAGGTCAAAATCACCCAAGCCCTCATGCTGAGAACCACTGGTATATACCCAACAGAAATATATACCTACGTGTACCAAAAAGACATATATAAGAATATGCACAACAGCATTATTCTTAATAGCTAAATACAGGAAATTTACCCAAATGCTCCTCACTAGCAGAATGAATAAATCAACTGTAGCTATTCCCAGGATGAAACACTATACAGCAATGAGAATGCACTTCAACTATGCACAACAGTATGGACGCATAACACAAACATAACACTGAGCAAAAGAAACCTGACACAAAAGTAGATACCATATGATTCCATTACCTAAAGTTGAACAACAGTAAAAACTAATGTAGGGTGTTGGAAGTCAGGATAAGTGGTTATCCACAGGAGAGAAGCCAGAGTCTCGAGGAGGGGATTCTGGGGTGCTGGGAATGTTCTGCTTCTTGATCTGGATCCTGACACAGGTGTGTTAAATTTGTAAAATTCACTGAGCTGGACACTTATGATTTGTACATTTTTCTGTTATATTTCAATAAAAAATTAAAACACAAAAAGGAAGTTTCAAAATCTAAAATGATTAGTTAGTACTTTTTTTGTGTGTGTGTGAGGAAGATCAGCCCTCAGCTATCATCTGCCAATCCTCCTCTTTTCTTGCTGAGGAAGACTGGCCCTGGGCTAACATCTGTGCCCATCTTCCTCCACTTTATATGGGACGCCGCCACAGCGTGGCTTGCCAAACGGTGTGTCGGTGCGCACCCGGGATCCGAACCGGCGAACCCCGGGCCGCTGCAGCGGAGCATGCGCACCCAACCACTTGTGCCACCGGGCCGGCCCCTAGATAGTACTTTTATAAAATATTTTCCTTCAAGTAGCTTAATACTCGGGTCTCTATCACATATCCACTTCAGGTTTTCTATAATTATATTCTTTTCTCAAGTAAGAGAGTACTGCTTATGATGTTCTATTCTATAAGGTATGTTGTTTTCTCAGATAACAATGTACAAGACTATATTTCAAAACTCAAGGGAAAAAAATAACTTACATCTTCCATGTATTCTGGCTCTGATGCAGAGGCATCCCAACGATTATTCAGAATGAAAATATTAGGCTTGGACAGTCGCTCATTTACCTTGTGAAAAAACTGTTTTTCCTGAAAAACATGAAATACCCAACAGTATGTTCACTTTTAAAAGATATTTTATGTTTACATTTATAATTGAAACTTTATTTGAATCTAAAAGTTTGAACCATTTAGACAACAGTGACTAACACTCATTGATAAAGGATGCCAAAGCACTCTGGGCATTAAACTTTTCAAGATGAGAAAATTAAAATATAAGAGGGCACAAGTGAAGATTTACCTCCTCCTTCCATGAGTCTTTTTTGAAATTTAATTTAACAAATATTTATCTGTCTCTACTATACGCAGGACAAAACAGGTACTGCTGGATACAAGAGTCCCTATTTTCAAAAATCTACCACAAATCTTTTTTAAAGATTTACTAACTAAATTAATAACAATGTAAAACACGTGTAGAACACATCAAAGTAATCTGACTTTGACAGCAGCTTTGAGTGTACACAGATAAGCTGGAAAAGGCTGGCAAAACTCAAAATACGAAAAGCCTTGCCTGCCAGACAGGAGGGTGAGGTGGGGGTGTTATATTTTATTCGAGAGACTTAAGTCAACATCCTAACAATTCTGGTGCCCATTCCTTCTGAAACTGGCAAATAACCACAGTGAATGTCAACAACACACATGTATCACACCTTGAACTAAACGATTCATTACTAAGCTAGAGCCATCAAACCTTAGATTGCTATTGAAACCCTGGGAACACTCAAGACCAGAGTGTTTCAGCCCTTTCAGTCCCATGGAAACAGATTCTTTCCAATCCATAATTTGGACTTCCCTCACTTTTCAGAATTAAAACAGACAGTAGTTCATTTCTTACCACTCAAACATAATAATATGATTAAATCCTACCGTGTTCATTAGTGTTGATTCCGAGTTTGCAACCAAAACGAAGACATCAGCATCTAAGCAAAACTTATCAATCCAGCTATCCAGCTCTGTAGTGACATCTGTACCCGGACTAATGGGAATAAAATAAAAATTGTATTATATAATATTTTTAAAAAGAAATAATACATTATAGAAAGATAATATTTTAAACTTTTATAAATTATTTGATGTCTAGAGGAGAGGATTTCTACCAGTCATCAGTACAAAGCCCAAGAGATTTAAATTACTTTCTCACTTATAAGAGATCAGTTGTGGCAAGTTAAGAATCTGTGCTTTATTCTGCTGACAAGGAACTCCCAGAGCCTATCCAACTAAGAACTTAATGCTAAAAAAAAGTTTATTTACTAAAGACAAATAACCTTGTGATTTTTGACAAAGCAAGTAACATGACCAATATTTTAATCTTTTAAATTTTCATGCTTTGGAAGGCTGAAACATAAGTATTGAAAAAAAAAACCAAACTAGGTTAATAACATAATCAAAAATGACAGTGCAAGCAGCTATGTCCAGTAGGGCTCACAGAAGATTTAAGTGCTTATAAGCATAAATAATAAAAAATGAAACACCTCCTGCTAGACATAAATTTAATATACAATCTATGCTATAAAAATTACAGTGCAACTGTTCATACGTTGGCTTAATGTATCCTGCAACAAGTAGGCAAGATGACAAGTTGGGGTCGTGGATACTGTCTGTCCATGATATCAAGCAAAATTAATTAGTTGATATTATATGTAAACCAAATTGTTTCTATTTCACAAGCATCTTCTCTCTCATCTGAGCTATTTCTGTTGATTACAGCATTCCCTCTTATCTGAGGTTTCAGGTTTCAGTTACCCACAGTCAACTGCAGTCCAAAAATAATAAATGAAAAATTCCAGAAATAAACAATTCATAAGTTTTCAATTGTGCACCATTCTGAGTAACGTGATGGAATCTTATGCTGTCCTGCTCTGTCCCACCCAAGACATGAATCATCCCCTCATCAAGTATATTCATGCTGTATACGCTACCCACCCGTTAGGTCACTTAGTAGCCGTCTCAGTTATCAGATCGCCTGTGGTGGTATCACAGTCCTTGTGTTCAAGTCACCCTTATTTTACTTAAATAACAGCCCCAAAGCACAAGACCAGTGATGCTGGCAATTTGGATATGGCAAAGAGAAGCTGTAAAGTGCTTCCTTTAAGTGAAAAGGTGCAAGTTCTTGACTTAATAAGGAAAGAAAAAAAATCACATGCTGAGGTTGCTAAGATCTACGCTAACTTTTATTATAGTATACTGTTATAATTGTTCTATTTTATTATTAGTTATTGTTGTTAATCTCTTACTGTGCCTAATTTATAAATTAAAGTTTATTATAGGTATGTATGTATAGGAAAAAATACAGTATATATAGGGTTTGGTCCTATCCACAGTTTCAGGCATCCACTGGGAGTCTTGGAACATATCCGCCTCGGATAAGAGGGGACTACAGTACTTGAAACACTCTTCCAATTAAAATAAAAGCCCATCATCAAAAACAAAATGATTTCCACAGAACACTGAAATTTTAACTGAAGAAAACAGAAGAGCACATCAAAATTTTAAAAATCATGTAACTCCCTGTTTTGGTTAATGACATTGCTCAACAGATATGCGTTAGTTTATTAAGCACCACTGTAGCAGGATGATTTAAAATACACATAATAAATGCAGATTAATCAGAAGAGCTGAAAAAAATTCACAAAGTGTTTGATTAATTCTTGAACAATGCAAAGTTATATGAACTGTCCAGCAAAGTTATTTGGGGAAACTTGGTCTCAAGAATAAATTTATTACTGGTTAAAAAAATACCTATTTAGAGTTATCTAGATACCTAGAATATCTAGATACCTAGTTATCTAGATACCTAGAGGCCCAGCCTCTTACACCAACTACAAAGTCAGTCTAGGGAAACAAACAAAAAAAGTAGCCATCCTTGAAATTTCTTGTAATAGAATTAGACTGATAGGGGCCGGCCCGGTGGCATGGCAGTTAAGTGCACACATTCTACTGCTGGCAGCCCAAGTTCGGATCCCGGGCGCGCACCAATGTACTGCTTGTCAAGCCATGCTGTGGCAGCGTCCCATATAAAGTAGAGGAACATGGGCACGGATGTTAGCCCAGAGGTAGCCTTCCTCAGCAAAAAGAGGAAGATTGGCAGATATTAGCTCAGGGCTGATCTTCCTCACAAAAAAACAAACAAAAAAAAAGAATTAGACTGATAAATTGGCACTTTTATGTAACCATTAAAAAACAAAAACTGGGGCCAGCCCAGCGGCGTAGCAGTTAAGTTCGTGTGCTCTGCTTCAGCGGCCTGGGTTTGCAGGTTCGGATCCCAGGCACAGACATCCGCACTGCTCATCAAGCTGTGCTGTGGCAGCGTCCCATATACAAAACAGGGGAAGATGGGCATAGCTGTTAGCTCAGGGCTAATCTTCCTCAGCAAAAAGAGAGGATTGGTGAGGGATATTAGCTCAGGGCCAATCTTCCTCACCAAAAAAAACAAAACAAAAAAATTCCCCCAAAACCAATACCTTACGCATTCCTTAACGATCTAGCAAATGAGAACAAAGCAGTGATTGAACATTGTAAATTTTTATGTACTACCTGCTAAAGCAAGTAGCATTATTCTATTAAATAAGCCTTTGCAAGGAGAAAATGCCAATTCATATGTAATTTTACCTGTCCACTAAAACCAGGTCATCTCTCAAGAGGGCACATTTTGCCTTTGGCCAAAACACATGTACAAGACAGCCAGCTTTCAAGTCTTTGTCCATATGAAGAGCATGGGCAAGCTGATTAACTGTCTAAAGCGGGAGGGAGAGAAAAAACAAAACTCTACTCATAACAAAATTCAATAAAAATTAAAAATACTATGATTTGGTAAAACATTTATTTTTGCAAAATACGTACAAAAGCAGAACTTCAAGTAATTTGAAATAAAACCATCTGAGCAATCTTGAGAAACCTGAGTTTTAAAACAATAACCAAATAGAAAAAAAAGATTGGTACCCTTAAAACAGTTTACTCATACCATTCTGCAAAAATAATCAGGGCTGGAAACATTCTAAATGCCCAACAAATGGAACTCTGGCAATGGAATCCTAGGCAACCCCTGAAATAGATATGGTAGGTATGAAAAGAAATTTACTACATATTAAGAGAAAAAAAGCAAATCAGAAAATAGTACATATGATATAAAACCATTTTGTTTAAAAATACAGAGAAAGACAAATTTAACTCTACATCAAAGAGTTTCCACTGGTTTGGGGAAGGGTGTGAGTTTTGGAGTTTCTTTACATTTTGCCTATTTGTATTTTCTGACATGTCTAAAATAAACATGTATTGCATAGTAATGAGAGGGGAAAATAGAAGACATGTCTTCTATTACTAAAATAGGTTTAAAAACACCATAGGAATAAGATCAAGGAAATACAAGAGAAGTTCAATACATATTCTTTTAGGAGCCAGCCAAGTGGCTCAAGCAGTTAAGTGCATGAGCCCGCAGGTTCGGATCCCGGGCGCACACTGACGCACCGCTTGTCAAGCCACGCTGTGGTGGTGTCCCATACAAAGTAGGGGAAGATGGACACGGATGTTAGCTCAGGGCCAATCTTCCTCAGCAAAAAAAGAGGAGGATTGGCACTGAATGTTAGCTCAGGGCTGATCTTCCTCACAAAAAAAATAAAAAAAAAACACATATTCTTTTAATAAAGGATTTTTCTCAGCAGGTAGTTATTTATTCCCACAAGCCTGCTTGAAGTCAATGACTATGCCCTTCTCTTTCCATTTAAATTCACTAAAATATTTCTAGTTCTCAAGATGACTTCTGACATACATTAATTTATTAAATTAATGTGTTAATTTAATACCTTTCACATATGTGTTAAATTAACTATGCAATAAATACAAAGGGCTTTAAGACAAAATTAATCAAGAACCAAGGAAAGGGCATCAGCACACATACCTCCATGGTTGATTTGTGATTTGTGTCAAGTTTTAAAGGGAAAGATCTATTTTTAAACGGGCACAATAGTCCTGATCAGCATTGAAGTGAATCTCCATAGTGACAATGTTAGGTAGGCTTTTTTTTGCTTGCTTTCATAAACTTTTTGATAGAATTATAAACTTGTACTAAAATCTTGATGCCTCACCTATAAAATTAAGATAATAAAAGCACCTATCTGACAGAGCTGTGGTGAGGATTGAGTTACTACAAGTATTTAGAATAGGCCTGGTACACAGAAAGTGTGCCAGAAAGTATTAGTTATTATTGTTGCATTTATTTTACAAAGTAAACTATTACAGCACAAGACTCAAAGTGTATTTACACCTTAAAGCAGGCCACTACTTGAGATAAATTTAAATGTTGAAGAGAGGAGTAAAAGAGCATGAAGGAAGAGGATAGGAAGTAGAGAGCACAGGTCAGGAAAAATGAGATGATTATCTAAAAATATCACAGCACACTTGACTTTGAGGATCTAAAGCCACAGGCAGTTTGAATTCTGATTTGGTGAAAATCTTGATTATAAAATAAGTGATTCCTTTGTATGAGTTAAAAGTTGAAAAAATATTTCCATAAACATCATCTCATTTATTCCTCATAACTAACCTGAAGGGTAGTACAAAGGTTGACTTACCTGACCTAGATCAAACAGCCAACTCACAGAACAAGAACTAGATCCATGAATTCACCTAGTCTAACAAAACCTAAAACGGCATAGATCTTCAAACACTGAACTTCTGCGTTTGTGAGACAGATCTTAAGACTTAAGAGAAAGGGACCACAGTGAGAAACAGTACCCTTACCAATTGCATTCATTCCAGAGTCAATGCCTGCATCCTAATTTCTTTCTTTTTTTTGGCTGAAGTAATCTAGTGGCACAGAATTCCTTAAGAAATTTATGAAAGGCAGGGAATTACCATTGGCCCCTATCTGATAAAGCTATTACATAATATTCATGAATATGCTTACTATATATCCAAAGGTAAAACAGTTTCCAAAGGCACAGAGGTGTCAAAAACTGATTCCAGGGCCCATTTTTTTTTTTTTTTTTTGTGAGGAAGATCGGCCCTGAGCTAACATCTGCCAATCCTCCTCTTTTTGCTGGGGAAGACTGGCCCTGGGCTAACATCCATGCCCATCTTCCTCCACTTCATATGGGACGCCGCCACAGCATGGCTTGCCAAGCAGTGCATCGCTGCGCATCCGGGGATCCGAACCGGCGCCACCGCAGCAGAGCGCGCGCACTTAACTACTTGTGCCACCGGCCGGCCCCTCCAGGGCGCAATTTTTTAAACAAAGTTTTCTTTAAAATAGATTCCAGGGCCCAATTTTTTAAACAAAGTGTTTTTTAAAAAGACAAGATTTGAGATTAAATAGCAACAATATACTTCAATAATGTTCTTTCTCCTGAGAACATTATTTTAAAAACTTAATACCATTAACTCTGATTTACTTTTGTTTTAAGTTAAGGACAGGTTTTATTTTTCCAGTCATTTAGCTCTGAAGCAAAGAATTTTAGAGAATTCAAAATATCAGTGATGGCTTTAAAAGCTATGAATAGGGGCTGGCCCAGTGGTGCAGCAGTTAAGTTCGAGTGTTCCACTTTGGTGGCCTGGGTTCGCCAGTTCGGATCCTGGGCGCAGACCCACTCGCTGCTCATCAAGCCATGCTGAGGCCGCATCCTACATAGAAGAACTAGAAGGATCTACAACTAGGACATATAATTATGTCCTAGGGGCTGTGGGGAGAAAAAAGAATTAAAAAAAGAGGAAGACTGGCAAAAGATGTTAGCTCAGGGCCAATCTTCCTCAAAAAATGTTCTTAAATAAAAAAAAAAGCTATGAATAGAAATATTAATGGTTCTTCTATCTCCAGCAATGCAGACATCTTATAAAAAATTTTTCAAAAGAACAAGAACATTATTTCAGGTACATATGTTGCTAAAGATCAAATATTATACCTTCACACTCCTTTTCTCTTCTGATCCTTCTGTCATAAGATAGGCTCTATCTCCATCGGTTCCTTCAACACTCAGGAAGCAATTGGTCGTATGGCCAATCCCACTAGGGAGGACTTTATCCCACAACATTGCATTGATAACGGAGCTCTTCCCACTGCTTGTCCTGAAGAATGACATACAAAATCATTAATACATAAAATCATGAAAAACAAAACATAACAGTTAAAACTTTGTTCTTTCACTGGATCTAAGGCCAACTTTTTTAGAATTCAAATTCTGTTACAATTTCATCAGATTGCATTTTTAATGAAAAAATTGCCAATTTAATTTACAAATATTAGCAATGTACATTTCAGAAAAAGAGGAAAACAAATCACATCTTTCCCATAAAGCTAGCCTTGCCTTTTCTATCTTTCTTGCTTCTGGGCAATTTGAAATCACAGCCCCAAATTCTGAGACACTCTTCTCATCCCAAGATGGGAAAAGATGTCCCACTCCTTAAAGCTGGGCTGGACCTTTTTCACACCCAAAGCTAATACCCACTTTTCATTCTCAAGTAGGACAACTGAGTCATCACCTCTCTAAGCCTCTTCCCTCCCACTCCTACTCCACCCTCATCTGAGGTAGGCCTCTTTCACGCACCCACCTCATACTTGACTCTGTAAAGCCCTGAGAATATGGTCACCAGGGAGAAGCGGACAATAAAAGCAAACAAAACAACAGAATTTTATGAAAAAGTTTTGAAGGACACAAACAGGGTGCTTTACTAGAGAATAACAGAAGGAATAATTTAGAGCCATCAAGGAAGGTTTCTGAGGTAGTAACATTTCGGATGAGATCTGAAGAGTGAGAAGGAGCCAGACACAGGTACAACAAGGCAAAGAGAATTCTAAGCATAGGAAATTGCAAGTGCTAAAGCTCTAAGCCAGGAAATAGCTTAGAAGGTCTATCAGGTTAGTTTAGTAAGTAAATAAATGCCGCTGCTGGTACACAGCACATGATATTTGAGCAACCAAGTACGAGCCTAGTCATTCGTCTCTGCATCCCTAGGTCCTCAGAGTGCCTGGTACATAGGCAGTTAACAAACGATCCTTCAAGTAATATATAAGCTGTGGCAGAGATCATTCTATCACTCCAGACAGTTACGTCAACAAACGGCACTTCCTACTCCCCCTCTGGGATTCAGGGGGCTGAGAACCCTTTTCCAAGATACATCTGATAATGAACAGAAATTTAAAAAAGTAAGTTGCAGATTATACATATCATTGATCTGTATTTCTATTCTTATAATTGGCTAAGAAGCCAATTCTTTTTTTTTTTTTTTTGTGAGGAAGAGCAGCCCTGAGCTAATATCCAGGCCAATCCTCTTTTTACTTTTTTCTTTTTTTTTTGTTTTTTTTTGCTGAGGAAGACTGGCCCTGGGCCAACATCTGTGCCTATCTTCCTCCACTTTACATGGGACACCGTCACAGCGTGGCCTGACAAGCAGTGCATTGGTGCGCTCCCGGGATCCGAACCCGACCCGCCAGCAGCAGAGCTCGCGCACTTAACCACTACGCCACAGGGCCAGCCCCTTAGAAGCCAATTCTTAGAGATAAATATCTTTTAAAAATATGATTGACCTTCATAAAGCTTCATTTTATACCAGGAGCTAAAATGAACAAATTCACTTACACGCTAATTAATAGCTTTAACATTTAACACAGAGAGCAACTGTTGTGGGGAGAAGGGAGAGGAATATCATTTGCTGAAACATTCAGAAACAAAGCTGGGGATACGACCAAGAAAAGCTGATTTCTGGAAACTATCCTTGAGAAGAAATAAAGGATTAGATTACCTGCCAAAAAATGCCACTTTCATGTGTCTCCGAGACAGCACCTCACCAATGATGGAAAGTTTGTTTTTATACCCCTGTATTTCTATCAGATCATCCTCAGTAGCTATTCGGTCAAGTTCTGGATCCTTGAATGTTTCTGCAAAATTGAAATGGTATTAGAAAAAGTGATAAAAATGAACAGTTAGCCTTCAGTATCCAAGGATTCAACCAAGTGCAGATCAAAAGTCCTACAATGGTTGCACCTGTACTGAACATGTACAGACTTTTTTCTTGTCATTATTCCCTAAACAACACAGTATAATAACTTTTACATGGCATATACATTCTATTAGGTATTATAAGTAATCCAGACATGATTTAAAGCACACAGGAGAATGTGCATAGGTTATATGCAAATACTATACCATTTTATATGAGCATCTGTGAATTTTTGTATCCACAGGGGGTCCTGGAACCAGTCGACTGTATTAAGTTAATTATACAATGGAATATCCAAGACACTCATATATTTTGGCTTTCTTTTATATTAACGTGCCATTTGAAAAGTAAAAATGCCCAAAGTATCTGAATATTTGGTAAAAGGTAAATGCCTTGCTGCAATGGGTCAAAAGAATCCTGCCCAAAAGAATTTCAAAATTATTAAAAATTACAGGGGCCCAGTCAAAAGGGTATCTGTTTTTCATCTAGGTCCCAAAAATACAAAATACCCATCTAAGACAAATACGGTTTTCTGAACAGAGAAACTAGAACCTAATATCCACCTATTATTGTTCCATCCAGACTGGATCTTCAGATCTTGAACTGAGAAGAGGGATCCACATACTAAGAAGAGTGAGGTTTGAATGGGCACCCCCAATGAATAACTATATGTTTCAAGCAGGTCTCCAAGCTAGGTAAGACTTTGCTACCTTTTTACTTCTTGTCTGCTTCCCACAGGGATGGAGCAAAACAGCTCATTTAACATGAAAAGAGAGGGCTGGCCCCGTGGCTTAGTGGTTAAGTGCACGCGCTCTGCTGCTGGTGGCCCAGGTTCGGATCCCGGGTGCGCACCGACACACTGCTTCTCCGGCCATGCTGAGGCCGCGTCCCACATACAGCAACTGGAAGGATGTGCAGCTATGACATACAACTATCTACTGGGGCTTTGTGGGGAAAATAAATAAATAAAATCTTTAAAAAAAAAAAAAAAAAAACATGAAAAGAGAATTGAGGATTGTATCCCAGTCCTGTCAGGTTTGGGGGTAACTGCCCACCCCAGCCCTAACCTCCTCCCTCCTCCAAGGACAGAGTAGCTGGAAACGCCTGATTGAAAAGCAGAAAAGCCTTTCAGTTTTGTTTATATTTCAGGAATCTACATTTTTACATTTACATATCTATCACCTCATTTTGAAGATAAGAATACAGAGATTGATTTAGCTATGTGAATGGTCCTAATTAGAGACAAACATTAACATAGCTTACCCAGTGCTCATCTAACTAAACTTAAGCTTTACACAGCTCACCATACTTTTCAAGTGCATTAACAAAATATGCACAATTTGGTGAATAAAGGTAAGACTGGCTTACGTATCATTACGTGCACCCTTGTTTTTCATTTTATTCTTGCTCTTCTATGTTCTTCCTGATTTATTTGCTCTCTTTTCTACAACATTTTTTGAGGTTCTAGAACCGTTAAAATCAAATTCAAATTCTAAACTGCCATTCACTAGCTCCCAGCCTAACGCTCACTCTATAACAGGCTCAATACACAGAAGGTATTACATTTAACTTCATTTTCACTTCCTATCAACTTTTTTTTTTTTGCAGGGAAGGATTTGCCCTGAGCAAACATCTGTTGCCAATCTTCCTCTTTTATTTTTCTCCCCAAAGCCCCCATAGTGCATGGTTGTATATCCTAGTTGTAAGTCCTTCTAGTTCTTCTATGTGAGCCGCCACCACAGCATGGCAACTGACAGACGGGTGGTGTGGTCCGGTGACTGGAAAACAAACCTGGGCTGCCGAAGCAGTGAGAGTGCTGAACTTCAACCACTAGACCATCAGGGCTGGACCCTATCAACTTTTTTAGAACAAAATATTATTCAAAAGTCACCGTGCCAGCTCAAGTTCTTTCCAAATTGGAAACATAAAGATTCTACATCAGTACTTTTTTTCTTATTCAATAATAAAAGGGGCCAGCCCAGTGGCACAGTGGTTAAGTTCATACGCTCCATTTCGGCGGCCCGGGGTTCTCGGGTTTGGATCCCAGGCACGGATCTACACACTGCTCATCAAGCCATGCTGTGGCAGCATCCCACATACAAAATAGAGGAAGACTGGCAATAGATGTTAGCTAAGGACCAATCTGCCTCACTGGAAAAAAAAAAACCACAATAAAACTCGAATTGTCTCAGGTTTGGTGACAGGGACACAATAATAAAGCACAACCCCTACTCTCAAGGAGCTCAAAATCTGGTGAAGGAAAAAAGTTTGATTCTACCTATCTACCAAATGTTTCCCCATCATCACTGGAGAACTTTACAGAATCCCTCCCTTTTCATTGTACCCTTGATAGTCTTGTAAACTTAAGAATCAGAAAAGATTTCAACAGTTATCACCAAAGTAGTATTCCCCAGTAAGACACTCCTCACCACCTTTGTTTGAACAGTTACAATCATTTTAAGAAAACTTGTTTTGCCCTTTTCCCACTGCATTCCAGCCTCATTTGAGAAGATAAGTCTGAGATCTTGGCGTAACTACTGACTTGGGGAAGAGATAAGTATAATGGCTAAATGTGGGCTGCCCGATTTTTAGTCTAGGCATTTAGTAGCTGTGCGATCTTGGGCAAGTTGCTTAACTTTTCTGTGCCTTGGTTTCTTCATCTTTAAAATGAGTGTGATTAAAAATCAGCATCAGGGGGACTGGCCCAGTGGCACAGCGGTTAAGTGCACGCGCTCCACTTTGGCAGCCCAAGGGTTCACAGGTTCAGATCCGACGCGCACACCAACGCACTGCTTGTCAAGCCATGCTGTGGCGGCGTCACATACAAAAAGTAGAAGAAGATGGGCATGGATGTTAGCCCAGGGCCAATCTTCCTCAGCAAAAAGAGGAGGATTGGCATCGGATGTTAAATCAGGGCTGATCTTCCTCACTAAAAAAAAAAAAAAAATCTGCCTCAGTGTTGATATGAGGATTAAATGAATTATTAATCTAATAAAGTGCTTAGAATATCATATACAAGCACTTATTTCTTAGTTGTTATTAATACCATTTAATCTTCCTCCTTTGGAGGGCAGAAGTGGGTTTGTTATGGTATCTCTCACAGTATATAGCACAGTACCTTATATATGTGTTCAATAACTAAGGGTGAAAGAATAAAGCACCTTTATGTAGTTTCAACAATAATTATTTTAAAAACTTTGAGGAACTAACCTTCAACAAAATGTGATCCCTCAGTAACAAACTCCAGTAACTGGTCAAAGATTGCAGTAATTGCCTTCTTAGCCAGCACAAAGTGCTTCAGTGGAGAAGCAGTTTCTGCCATTACGCTACTGGGGGGAGAAAATAAAAAGTTAGAAAAGCACAAATTAAACTGGATGATAAAGACATGCAAATTAATGACACCTTCTGGCAACACTGATTAACTCCCCAACGAAATAAATTAAACAAACTGACAAAATACTTTTAGATAATTGTTTTTTGGGGACAAGCATTTTAGTCACAATTAAAGACTATCTTTGAGGGGGCCTGCCCGGTGGCAGGTGGCACCTAACTGCTGTTAGGTGCTCGGGCTCTGCTGCCGGCAGCCCGGGCTTCGGATCCCGGGCACACACCGAAGCACGGTTTGTCAAGCCATGCTGTAGCCACGTCCCATATAAAGTAGAGGAAGATGGGCACAGATGTTAGCCCAGGGCCAGTCTTCCTCAGCAAAAAAAAAAGAGGATTGGCATGGATGTTAGCTCAGAGCTAATCTTCCTCTCAAAAAAAAAAAAATAAATACTAACTTTGAGTGATATTCCACTAAACTAAGTGAATTCTATTGGCCAAAATCTTGGTTGCAATTTCTGTATTTCCCTTTGGTGAAGTTGAAACTAATTGTGGCTAACTTTTGACCGCATGTGACTCTTAAGTACATCAGGGAACAGGGTTAGTGAGAAGCAGCCAAGTTGAGAAATAATAGGTGATTAAGTTTGCCAACCTGGAGCTCTAGGTGGGTGGAGGTGGATATGCAGGAGGAGGAAATAAAATTCCAAGATCACAATGCAATACTGACGTTTAGAAAGAAGTAGTTCTCATCACAACAAATAAGGAGGCAAGGCTTAAAGCGAGCATTAACGTTTCCAGCCAAAGTACCAAGAACTTCAAAAAATATTAGTAAAAAAAATGTTTTTTTCCTAGCAGCTTCTCATGAAAAAGACACCGCACAAAAACGAGCACACGTGAGTCGAATCCTGGTGTGTATGTGCGTGGAATGGAGCAGACTGGCCGTAAAGAAGGCTGAGGGTCAGGAAATGACTGAGCGAGGGAGCAGCGTGGGCAAAGCAGAGTGAGGACAACGATCCGGTTGAGCCGGGCGAGGAAACCAACCTTCGGGAGAGGCCTTTCACGTCTTACACAACAGGCGCCGGAGCCCCGCCCGCCGGGCTTGGGGCCAGACCCCACCACCGCCCCGGGTGCACCGGGCGCGGACCGGGCTCACCACCCCCCGGGCTGCGTCCTGCCTCGCCTGCTCCGCGGGTCCGACGCGGCCGCCAGCCCCGCTCGCAACCCCGCTCGCTCGCCCCTTCGCGCAGGACCGCGGCGGCGCCTCGTCACAGAACGTCCCGCGCCCGACACCCCGCCCCCTGTCCCCGACCACACGAAGGTCACAGCGAGCGAAGGGAACCGGCCGGCGGCCGAGGCAGCAGACACTCACACTGTCCCGGATCCGACTTGTCACCCGGCAACCGCAGCTCACCCACAGCCCCCAGACAGCCTCATCCTCCCAAAGGAAACTGGCAGGCTGGGAGGAGGCAGGAGGAGTGGCAAAAGGGCGGTCACTTCCGGTCTCTTGCCCGCCCCGATTTTGTTTGGCTCCGTCGCCGGAAGTGCATCTACGCCCAGCGCCATTTTTCTTAAGGGCAGAAGGCAAGGCTTGTTGTGGTCAGGGAATGCTCCCAGGAGAGTGGTTTTCTCTTGGCTCCCCAACTTCAGCTTCGCCTCCCTTCTCCCTTCAAAGTTTCCAAAGCTCTGCCCAGCCTAAGCATAGCTAGCTGGTTTAGTGAGAGAGAGCTAAAAGGAGGTGGGGTGAGGTGGGATGAGGTGGGATGAGGTGGGTTTTGGACTGCTAGATAAGAGAGATTCCTCCCTGCTCGGCCAGCAGCAATAAAAGAAAACCTTTTGACCTCTCCGCTACTCTGTCCTTGTGTGATTGGCATCCTGGGCTTGGAGTACAGCTGTGAGTGTTTGTGCGTGTTGCATTACTTTAGAGGTGAGACTCAGGAAATTGGCGTATCTTTGACTAATGCTTCTCAAACTTGGTACTTAGGAATCACCTGGGAATCTTGTTAAACTTCAGATGGATTCATTGGGTCAGAGGTGAGGCTTGAGAGTGTGCACTTCTAACATCCTTGGAGAGCTGCTGCTGCTGGCCTGTGCATGGCTCAACAGAATGTCTGGGGGATTTCTTTCCAGAGCTGGCAAGTGAGATGCAGTTTTGCAAGTGAAGCCAGTTCATCTCTCTGAGTCTCAAGTACTTCATCTATAAAATTCCAGCACTAATAATACCTACCTTATGGGTTGTGAAAATTACATGGGTCTATACCATGTAAAGTGCTTAGAACAGTGCTGGGCAGTAAGAGCTGGATAAAGAAATACTGTTCTTCTCTTGGAACAGATGAATATCAATAAACAAATGCAATAAATTAGATCATTTCAGACAGTGCTTACTACTCTGAAGAAAAAATGGCAAGGGGATAGACTATAGAAAGTGAGAAAGACTGAGCCACATAGGGTGGTACTTTCTGAGAAGGTAATATTTCCTTGCCTTTTCCCAGGAAGCCAATTCTTGGAATATCTGGAGGAAGAGTGCCTAAAATAGTGGGAACAGAAAGTCCAAAGGCCCATGGGAAGGAAAGTGGTATGGTCAATGAAAAGAAAGAAGGCCAGTAAGTCTGGGAAGTAGAGAAGGAAAAGGAGAATGGAGGCAATAAGTTTAGAGAGGTAGGCAGGTGTAGAATCATATAGGCCAAGATCAGAAGTTCAGATTTTATTCTAAGTGCAAGGGCTTGCTGTTTTAATCTTGGGGAGTGATATGAGCTGATTTACATTTTAAAAGGCCACTTTGGTTGCTCTGTGGGTACTGGACTGTACAGAGATTCCACACAATGTTTATTAAAGGGCCGGGTCCATTGGCTGGAATTAGAAGCATTCCATTAAAAAATGGCTTTTAATATTAGTCATACACTAAAGCCCTAGGCATAGTTGCAAGATAAGCTGGAATCATTTGACTTCACAATGTTTTATGCTTTTTAATCCCTTATCTCCTTTCCCCACCCTCTCTCTCCACACCATAAACACACACATATAAACAGTATGCTAATCATTTCTGCTAAAAATCCTTAGAATTGTGCCTCTATCAAAATTTGTTGGGCCGGCCCTGTGGCTCGGTGGTTAAGTGCGCGCGCTGCGATGCTGGTGGCCCGGGTTCGGATCCCGGGTGCGCATCGAGGCACCACTTCTCCGTTCATCCTGAGGCCGAGTCCCACATACAGCAACTAGAAGGATGTGCAGCTACGACACACAACTATCCACTGGGGCTTTGGGGGGAAAAATAAAATAAATAAAATCTTTAAAAAAAAAAAAAAAATTTGTTTTCCAATAAAGATCTATTGAAAATATAGATCTTTATCTATTTATCTAAAAAACTTCATATTATGATGCAAATGACCAAGGGCAGTCTCATACTTGGTTGGCAGAAGATTACAGTATCAGTAAGAGTTCAGAGGGTAAGAAATTTATTGCAAGGAATTGGCTCACGTGATTGTGAGGGCTAGCTAGGCAAATCCAAAATATGCAGGGCAAGCCATCAGTAAGGGCAGAATGGGAGGAGCTGACACTGCAGTCCACAGGCAGAATTCCTTTTTAGGGAAACCTAAGTTCTGTTCTTAAAGCCTTTTAGCTGATTGGATCAAACCTACCCAGATTACCCAAAGTAACCTCCTTTACGTAAAGTCAACCGATTATAGATGTAAATCACAAATACTTTCCCAGCAACACTTAGATTAGTGTTTGATTGAATAACTGGGTACTACAGCCTACCCAAGTTGACACATAAAACTGTCCATCACACCATTATGGGCTATTTGGCAAAATGATACAAAATTTATAATGTAAAGGCCTTTTGACCCAGCAATCCTAGGAAAATAATCTAACTTGTGGACAGACACTTAGCTATAAATACATAATCAAATATTATAAATATATTCAAAAAATACAAATAAACATACAATAATCAAAATATTATTTAAGATCATGAAAAACTGGAAACAATCCTAGCGTTCCCCTAGAGATGAGTTAAATAAATTATGGTACCTGTGCAGGATAGAATATGATATAGTCATTAAAGTTTGTTTTAGAAAAATGCTTGACATAGAGAAATGTTTACCAGATTGCCACAGTATATAAAAATGTGATATTTTTGTAAATCAAATGTAATACATATATTTTATTTCTGGATGGTGATATTACATATGATTTTTTTTCCTTTGTACTTGTCTGTTTTCACATTTTCTGCATTGAGCATGTATTTCTATAATGAGAAAAATGTAATAAATAGTTTATATTTTTAATTCTTTTTTTTTTGTGAGGAAGATTAGCCCTGAGCTAACATCTGTTGCCAATTTTCCTCTTTTTGCTGAGGAAGATTGGCCCTGGGCTAACATCCATGCCCATCTTCCTCTACTTTATATGGGATGCTGCCACAGCATGGGTTGACAAGCAGTGTGTCAGTGCCTGCCCGGGATCTGAACCTGCAAACCCTGGCTGCCAAAGTGGAGCATGAGAACTTAACCACTATGCCACCAGGCTGGCCCGATATACTTTTAATTCTTATAACATATACATGACTAGTAAGAATCCTAACTGATAAGCACTGTAATTTACAATGGTGTTAAGGCATTAAGCAGAAAGGAATGAAATTTTAAGGATGAATTTCAAGCATCAACCAGCATGTGGAAGGTGAAAGCATTTACCACCCTTGCGATCACTCATATGTTCATTCAACAAATATATATTGAAGAAGAAATCTTTTAACGGAAAAATATGGAACTTGAAATCTGAAGACCTCCGTTCAAATCTAGACTGCCACTTAATATCTATGTGAAACCTTTAACAACCTAAATCAGTTTTGAGCATAGGGAATCTCAAAGGGAACTTTTGTTTTATTTATATTGTTTGAATTTTTTAAGTCATTATGGTATCCCTTTATTAGTTTTGTAAATAATAATAATTAATTACATGTTTAATATAATTATTGTATTTTAAAGTAAGAGTTACATCACATGTTATAAATTGTATAATAATAATAAATGTTTTAATAAGTAATTTAATCCATTGCTTTGCTTTTTATGGAAGAGACTCATAGACAAAAACCAGCAGAGTAAACATGAAGAAAAAAATTAAAATGTAAAGGCTAAACCAAATAGAGATTAACAAAAACTAAAATTTAATTATTAGAAAAACTTATCAATTTTGACATACCACTGCCAAATGTGTTCAAGAATGTCAAAAAGGGAAGACACAAACCAAGGGGTTAATAACTCTGGATATATAATATGATAAATACCAATAAATTTGAAAACTTAGATGAAGTGTAAAATTTCTGGGAAATCATCAAATACCAAAATTAGTCCATGAAAAAGTAGAAACCTTGAATAAGCTAATAAACATTCAAAAAACTGAGGGGCCAGCCCCGCGGCCTAGTGGTTAAGTTCAGCTCTTTCTGCTTTGGTGGCCCAGGGTTCAGTTCCTGGGTGTGGACCTACACCACTGGTAGGTGGACACGCTGTGCTGGTGACCCACATACAAAATAGAGGAAGACTGGTACAGATGTTAGCTCAGGGTGAATCTTCATCAGCAAAAAAAAAAGAAAAAAAATTGAAATGGCAATTTCCCACTTAATATACAAAAAAAAAGGCCAGGCCTAGATGGTTTTAGATGAAATTTTTTACCAAATCTTTAAAGAAAAGATTAATTTTATCTCATATAGGTTTTTGCTGAGCATTGAACAAGAGAAACATCTCAACTCACTGATGAGACTACAATCACACTAGATAGGAAGTAAAAGTAAAGAAAATCACACTTAAAGGGGCTGGCCTGGTGGTATAGCAGTTAAGTGCTGGAGCTCCGCTTCAGCATCAGAGGGTTTGCAGATTCGGATCCCGGGTGTGCACCAACGCACCGCCTGTCAAGCCATGCTGTGGCAGGGCCCATATAAGTAGAGGAAGATGGGTATGGATGTTAGCCCAGGGCCAATCTTCCTTGGCAAAAAGAGGAGGATTTGCATCAGGAGGATTGGCATTGGATGTTAGCTCAGGGCTGATCTTGCTCAGAAAAAAAAAGAAAAAGAAAATCACACTTATGAGTAGAGAGGCAAACATCCTCTATGAAATATTAGCTAATTGAATCCAACATTGTGTTAGAAAAAATTTTCATCCAAGTAGGGTTTTCCTAGGAATATAAAGATAATTCAACATCTTAAAATCAACCAATGTAATTTATAATATTAGCAGACTAAAGAGAAAACCCATATGTTTATCTCAATAGATGCAGAAAAAGTCAAAGCTAAAGTTTAATACCCACTTATTAAAAAAGATCTTAGAACACCAAGAAACCTGATAAAGGCTACCTACCAAAACCTGTGGTGAATATACTTATTGGGGAAATTTTAGGAGTCTATGAACAAAAAAAGGAATGCCTG